TTTTGTTTTGTTTTTTCGAGACAGGGTTTCTTCTTGTAGTTTTGGTGCCTGTCCTGGAACTCACTCTGTAGACAAGGCTGGCCTTGAACTCACAGAGATTCGCCTGCCTCTGCCTCCTAGGTGCTGGATTAAAGAAAGGCGTGTGCCGCAACCACCTCGGTCAGAGACAGGTGGATCTCTGTGAGTTTGAGGCCAGCCTGGGCTACAGAGTGAGTTCCAGGACACTCAGGGCTGTTACACAGAGAAACCCTGTCTCAAAAAACAAACAAACAAATAAACACAAAAGTAAAAGGACTAGGCTATAGCTTAGTGGCACACACAGTGTTTGTATAGTATGCATTAAAAAAAAAGATATATTCTCATTTTATGTGTATGAGTGTTTTCCTGAATGTATGTATGTATACCATCTGCATGGCTGATGCCCACAGAGGTCAGAAGCAGGAAATGGATCCTTCGAACTGGCGTTATAGATGGTTATAAGCTACAGTATAGGTGCTAGGAACCAAACCTTGGTTCTCTGCAAGAAAAGCAAGTGCTCTGAACTGCTGAGCTCTCTCTAGCCCTGTGCCATCGTTATGTAACAGGGTCACAGACCTTAGCTCAACTGACTCCATGGCGGAAGTGCCATTCATGCTATAAAGCAGCACATAGCGCCACCAGCCGAAATGAAAACAGAGACCTAATCCATCACAGTCCATTGTTCTGGGAAAGTCTCTAAATGTGCTAATCTTGCATTTTGGTTTCTGTAGTTCTGCTTCTGTAACTGTTCTTGTTAACTTAAGTATGTCAACCCAGGACATGGTTTTTGTGCTTAAAGCTCACCGAGAGAGGCAGGAGGCTACATTGGGATCCCAAACACTTAGTGTAGTCATCTGTGGGATAATACTTTGTACGTCTGAGCAGTCTTCTCTAGGGAATACCCAAGTTATTCATAACCAAACATCCTAGCTGAACCATCTCTCCAGGTCATTCTTCTGTATTCTTTAAAAAGTATTAATTGTGGGGCTGGAGAGATGGTTCAGAGGTTAAGAGCACTGACTGCTCTTCCAGAGATCCTGAGTTCAATTCCCAGCAACCACATGGTGGCTCACAACCATCTGTAATGAGATCTGGTGCCCTCTTCTGGCCTGCAGGCATACATGCAGAATACTGTATACATAATAAATAAATAAATCTTTAAAAAAAAAGTATCAATTGTATGTGGGGGGTGGGTGATATACTTATAAGTGCAGATGCCTGAAGAGGCTAGAGGTATTTCATGCCCCAGGAGCTAGAGTTATAGGCAGCTGTAAGTCTGACAAACTGGGATCCTCTTTAAGAGGCTCCCAGTATCTGGGCCGTTTCTCTGTCCTCACTTTCAGTGGTTGTTTTACTTTTTAATTTTTGGGGTGGGAGCAGGGAGAGTTAAAGCAGGGTTTCTCTGTGTAGCCTTGGCTGTCCTGGAACTCACTCTGTAGACCAGGGTGGCCTCAAACTTAGAGTTCTGCCTGCCTGTGCCTCCCGAGTGCTGGGATTAAAGGTGTGCACCACCACTGCACAGCTCCAGTTCTGTTTCTTACCACCACTTACCCTGAGTGCCACCTTGTTATTACCACTCCCAAAAAGAGGCTCATCTTTTTGACACTTGATCTGCCTCTGCCTCTCTAGTGCTGGGATCAGATATGTACCACCTCTCTCTACCACTTTATTTTGAAATGGTCTCATGTAACCCAGTCTGGGCTCAAATTTCTGATCCTTCAGCCTCCACTTCACAGGTAGTATTAAAGGCATGCACCTTCACACCAACTGTGTGTGTGGTTTGGGGGGGGGGTGTTTTGCTTGCACATATGTCTATGCACTATGTGCATGCCTGGAGGACATTGGATCCCTTGGAACTGTAGTTTCTGGAAGAACAGCTAGTACTCTTGACTGCTGAGTCATCTCTTCAGCCCTTTGTTTTGCTTTTTGAGACATTCTAGCTGAGTAGCCTTGGCTGACCCCAAACTTTCAGAGGTCCTCCTGTCATTACCTCCCCAACACTTAGAGTACATCACACCAGCTCCGCCTAACTTTTTATACAGCATCTTGCTGAGACCAATCATTGCCTGGTATTGATTGCTACTGTCTTGGAAACTCAAGCTGAGACTCTGACACATCTCTGAAGGGCTGACTATGCTGACGTTGGCAGTCTCTTAAAAGAGAGTATCCAATTCATTTATCATGCAATCTGACCCATCTTCCATTCTCATCTGAAAAGTGGAGAGTAACTAGTCTACATATTTAAATGGGCTGGTTGGGAGGGTTAAATAGGTTAATACATATTACCTACTTAAAACTGGGTCTAATATTAGAAAGCATCTCATGGTACCTTCCCTGCTTTATGTTTACATGTTTTACTTTTACTTATTTTGCTTGTGTGAATGCACACGACATTACATGCATGTGGAGGAGTCAGCTCTCTCCTACCACGGTGTGAGTTGCAGGACTGAACTCAGGTTGTCAGGCTGAGCAGCCAGTGCCTCCTTCCCTATTTCAAATCTGGTCTGGCACATTAATGCCTCCACCTAGTGAAGTGGAGAAAGCACATAAAACCTAAGCCTGGCCTGGTGGTGGTGACACATGCCTTTAATCCCAGCCAGGGATACACAGTGAAACCCTGTCTCAAAAAACAACAAAACAAAAATCCTAAACTTCATCAGTGCACACTGTAATCTCAGCACTGGAGAGGCTAAGGCAGGAGGATCACTTGAAGTTCCAGACTAGCCTGAGCTATGTATCAAAAATCTGTCCAAAAAAAAAAAAAAAAAAAATCGGGCTGGAGAGATGGCTCAGTGGTTAAGAGCATTGGCTATTCTTCCAGAGGACCTGGGTTCAATTCCCAGCACCCACATGGCAGCTCATAACTGCCTATACCTCTAGTTTCAGGGGATCCAACTCCTTCACACAGACAAAATATAAAAAAAAAAAAATAACCACCACCTCCCCAAAAAAAGAACCTAACACGCTGGGCTCTGTATTTTATTTTGTCTGGGCTAAAACTTGATGCTCTCTTTACCAATTCTATCACTTTTATTTTTCTTTTTGCTTCGTTTTTGGAGTAGTGGTACTTAACACTGAACCCATGACCTTGCACATAAGACTAAACACACATTTTACCACTCCAAAGAACATCTGTTTTCAGGAATCTCCTGGGTCACTTCTAACCACTAGCTGGCCAAGCTACAGGGTGATCATTTCCTTAGGCAAGCAAACACTCCAGGCCTTTAATATGGTATTTCCTGGGGCTGGAATATCAACAGGAAGCCTTGTGGATAAAAGCTCTGCCAAAACATGCATTCCGAGAAAAGGACTGGTCAAGTGATAAATCTGTCCAGCTTGTACAACATCCTGTGGCAGACCTTACGCCTGCAATCCTACTCCAATTCTCAGGGTTCATGAGCTCGCAAGGTCAACAGATATGGATGGATAGAAGGCTAAGTAAGAAGAAAAAATTTTGCACTTAACAAGGTGGTGGGGACATTTATTTCCATAAGGAAAAGATTTCTTTAAACGGGGAGTGAACACTTTAACATTCAAGTCGCACCGTTTTATATATAAAACAAAAACCTAACCCAAAGTCTCCATCTGTACAGTCCTCTTTCAAGATGACAAGAGCAAAGGAGGCAAGAGGTAACGTCCCTGCTTCTACACCATAAAGTTTAAGGCGCAAGAAGCTAACAATCCCCAGTGCAGTCCAACAAAACTGCTTCCGACTGACTCCCAAGACAGTCATTTAACTATCAGTCCAAATTCTAACAAAAATTTTCCGGAACAAAGGAGCGATTCTCCCCATCCCCGGCTCAGTGACCTGTAGTTGAGAAGCCACGGGGAGAAGACTCGTTAGGCATCCAGATCAAAGTCATCGCGCTCCTCATTGTACTCCAGCACGTGCCGCTTGATCTTGGACGAGTCCACCCAAGTGACAAAGTCCTCCATGCTGCGAGTGACGAGAAAGGCGGGATCGGTGACCACGTCTGGGCCCACGCGGACGTGACCCTGCTCCACAAAGGCCACAGCAGCCTGGAGGTGCTGCGCCATGCGTAGCTTGAGGAGCAAAGTAGGCAGGCGGCGGCGGCAGAAGGACGAGGCTGAGACGAAGTCGCAGAGTTCCAGCGAGCCACGCGTGGGCACCAGGCCGAGAGCGTACAGCTTGTCCAACAGCGCCGCCGAGGCGCGCACGCGAAACGGGTCGCGTTCGGGGAGGTCGCGCAGGCGCCGCGCCAGCTCGCGCACGGCGCGGCTCAGCTGGTTGTAGCGCGTGTACTCCTCGCGCCGCTGGAGCCCGTACCGCCGCAGCACGCGCAGCTCGTGAAGGTTGTGGTCGGTGACCTCCCAGTTTAGGAAGTCCACCTGCTTCAGCAGCTTCTGCTCGTGGAACTTAAGCTTCCGCACCATGTTGGAGAACGCCAGAGAAAGCCGAGAGCACGTTGACAACGCGGCACAACTTCCGCCTCGGCGCGGGAAGACCCGTCCACACTTCTGGGCCAATAAGAAGAAAGCGGAAGACCACGCCCCCGTTTTTCATTGGTCCAACTTAGGAACTTCCTGTTGTGGGGGGGAAGGAGACCATTGGGAGGTCGGAGAGTCGTATCCTGCAAAGTGAGCTTCTTAGCTGCCGGGAGTCGTCGAATCTAGTACTCAATAATTTTGTCTCAGATTTCTGTCTTTGGTGACCTTGAAGAGAGTCTGCCCTCAAGAGCTGCAGACGTTACTTTCGGGAGAGGAGTGACTGCTTTTGAGGGTATTTACTCTGCTAAAAGATGTGGTTAGAACTGTGCGAACCTCTCGCGCCAGTGGTCCCTAGAGTGGTCCCTCAGCCTGCAACAGGTCCATCACTGGGCTGGGAAAGGGATTCTCCTTGCCAAGTAGGACTGAGCAGCACCAAGCCTCTGGCATACTGGTTTCCTGGACGTTTCCTAGACGTACGTAATCAGGGTGGGAAGCAGCCTGACATCTGGCTTCTACTCTTTTGAGACTGTGTCTCCCTAGCCAGCCATGATTTCGCCGTAATCCAACCGGCCTCAGTCTTCCAGAATGTTGAGATTCCGAACATGAGCTAGTATGGTCATCTTATTTATTTTACTTAATTAATTTGTTGTTTATTTTTATTTATTTATTTTTAAGACAGGGTTTCTCTGTGTAGTTTTGGTGCCTGTCCTGAATCTCGCTCTGTAAGACCAGGCTGGCCTCGAACTTGCAGAGACCTGCCTCTGCCTCCCGAGTGCTGGGATTAAAGGCGTGCGCCACCACCGCCCTGCCTATTTTATTTTTATTTTACTTTACTGAGACACAGGGCCTCTCTATGTAGCCCTGCCTATCCTGGTACTGTTTATGTAGACCAAGCTGGCCTCGAACCCAGAAATCCACCCACTTCTGCCTCCCAAATGCTGGAATTAAGGGCTTGCTTCATTACTCTCAGGTCCTATTTTAGAAGCAATTCTATGTTACTCAGGGCAGTTTTGTGTTTCCGCAAACTCCAGTAGTTGATACCCACCGAATATGAGGAACTCGGAGCATAAATACAAGTCCTAGCCCTTTCGTCTGAAAAAGGTGAAAATATCTTGTCTGGCAAACTCTTGCCCAGAAATCCCCCAAGCTCAAGAATATCTTCCAGCATAGTTCTTGTCTGAAATCATAGAAACAGAACTAAGGTTTAAAAAAAAAAATTCTATTGACTCTCCACTCGGATAGGCCCTTCCCCCTTTAAACCCTGGCCAAACCTCAAGCTCCTGGTGCTTGGCACACAGTCCTCATTTCCGAGGTGAGGTTGTTGTCCCTCATTGTCTTTATCAAAGCACAGTCTGCTTCTGTTGAGGTCAGAAGAGCTGTGCTCTTGTTTCCAGGTCTGCTCAGATCTAACATCTTTGATACTGAAACCTCAAAGGGGTTTCATTGGGGTTGTGGTGTCCTTCCCAGGTCTCTCTCCTCTCCTCTTCTCTCTGCCCCTCCTCTCCTCTCTCTCCAAACCCCTGAACTTGCTATGGCTGCCATCTAAACAGTCAATGGATGGACTCCATTTGATGTCTGTCTAGGTGACCCATGCAAAGAAGTTCCAGTGATAGAACGATCCCTGTTCTTGTAGCCAGAGAGACACTCACTGCCCCCTTCCCTTTTTGTCGTCCTCGGGGTCTGGAATAAAGAGCACTGCACAGATGTGGTACAGACATACATGTACACCAAGCCAGTATACACTCTTAACTGCTGAGCTGTCTCCATCTAAGGTCATCCCAGTGCTACAAGGAAATACACTTCAAGCTTGTTATAGACTCTAAAAGGAGCTGAGGCAAGATGGCTTAGCAGTTAAAAACACCACTTACTCTGGGCAGTGATGGTGCAGGCCTTTGCCTTTAATCCCAGCACTCAGGAGGCAGAGGTAGGCCGATCTCTGTGAGTTCCAGGCCAGCCTGGTCTACAGAGTGAGATCCAGGACAGCCAGAGCTACAAGAGAAATCCTGTTCCAGGAAAACAACAACAAAAACTGGCCAAGTCTGATGATCTGAGGTTTGTCCCTAGGACGTACATGGTGAAAGGAGAAAACTGAGTCTCACAAGTTGTCCTCCGACCGACCTCCAAAACATGCACTGCAGCACACACAGAAACCATAAGGAGGCTACTGTAGCATCCAGGTCAGATCAGAAAGAAGGTACCTGAGGGCAGAAAATCAGTACTGAGATGTTTGTAAAAGGAGAATGACAAGTGATGAGAAGAATCGAGGATGACTTTTTTACATCCCAACAGCTTAGCTATGTATATATACGTCATCACCTGAGATGGAGAAAGAAGATACAAGTAGAGAACAGATCTGGGGATGGCAAGATCAGAAATTCCAGTTTGTAGATGGTAGGTTGGAGACATCCATTAAAAGTCCAGGGGCTGGAGAGATGGCTCAGAGGTTAAGAGTTCAATTCCCAGTAACCACATGGTGGCTCACAACTATCTGTAATGAGATCTGGTGCCCTCTTCTGGCCTGCAGGCTGAACACTCACTGTATACATAATAAATAAATAAAATTAAAAAAAAAAAAAAAAGAGTTAGAAAAAGCATACCTAGAGCATATATATAAATCCAACATGGCTGTGTGTGTCTGATTTGTTTGGATACAAAGACAATACAGGAGCAAGCCTGTTATAGCTACTCAGGAGACTGAGGCAGGAGGACTACAAAAAGGTGTGCCTGGGTTACAGAGCCTTTATTTTGTGCAAGTTGGAGGGTCAGACTGGACCACTTGAGAACCTGTCACAAAATTGGGTGTTATGGTACATTCCTGTATCCCAAGCACTTGGAAAGAAAGGCGGGGGACATTGCAAGTTCTAGCTCAGTTTGTCTCATAGGGAGACCTTGCCTCAAAAAGAAACAAAGGAAGAAAGGAGGGAGGGAGAGAGGGAGGAAGGAAGGGAAGGAGGGAGGGAGGGAAAGAAGAGTGCACAAACCTAGAATCTGGGTTATTTTACTCGGATAAAAACAGCTGTGAAGCAAAACTGAATTTTCACATCAGTAGGTTAAGAGCTGGGGTTGCTCCTTGGGAAGCCCAGTGACCAGGTTAGCCCACGAGCCTGACACCTCCTTCCTTGTCCCCTGCCACATGGACAGCCTTGACCTTAAAGGCTCAGTTGTATTTCCTCCCAGCTGCTTTCTTTTGCTGGTTTTGAAAAGGTCCAGCCATGTATATAGCCCTAGCTGGACCTTCCTAGAACCTCCTAGATAGACCAGGCCAGCCTCAAACTTGTAGAAATCTTACCGCCTCTGCTGGAGACCTTCCTTCCCCCACCTGCTTGAGAGCCTCTTCTTGTTCCTATAATCTCTGTTCACAGACCTTTCTGCTAGTTGAGGCTAACAATAACAACCATTTCTTTAGTGTTTGCTAGGTACTAGGTGCTGTTGTAGACACTCCTTCCCTGCATGAGCTTACTTAATACAGTTAATAGGCTTTCTGAAGCATGGGCCCCACCCCGCTGCCTCTGTCTCCCAAGTTCTGGGACTAAATGTGTCCACCACCACACCCGGCTAGTTTTTGTTTTTTTGTTTTTTGTTTTTTTTTTTAATTGTTTTTTTGTTTCAGAAAGGGTTTCACACTGTAGTCCAGCCTCCAACTCATGGTAGTTCTGTTTCAGCCCCTCCTCAGTGTGTTTTTAACTTTTGGTAAGGTCTTGCATTGTGGCCCAGGCTGGCCTGGCACTCACTATGATGGCCTGTACAAACAAACTTAGGACCCTCCTGCTTCAGCCTCCCAAGAGTGTCGCCCCAACCAGCAATGTGTGCATCTTTATAGGGAGGCAAATCCAGATAGTACCAATGAAAATGAGTTTCGGAATCAGAGGTCTGAGAATCATGTCCCTCAAAACAGCTAAAGGTCCCAATCTTTTTTTTTTTTTTGGTTTTTCGAGACAGGGTTTCTCTGTATAGCTTTGCGCCTTTCCTGGAACTCACTTGGTAGCCCAGGCTGGCCTCGAACTCACAGAGATCCGCCTGCCTCTGCCTCCCGAGTGCTGGGATTAAAGGCGTGCGCCACCACCGCCCGGCCCTAAAGGTCCCAATCTTTAGCAGCACTAATTTATACCAGTAAATTTGCAACCAGCAAGACTAGGAATGGGAAGCTCTAGTGGGGGGGTGTGTGTGGGGGGGGTGTAAGGGGTAGGAGGTGGTAAACAGTGCTCCAGGGCTCAGCTTGGAAAGGGGTCTGGGCTAAAGTCTTTGTGCTACTTCAGACATCTCCTAGAAAAAGAGAAGGTCCCTGATAGGTGTTCCACTCAAGCTGAGGTAGTGCCTCCCATGAATTTTCCACGGCACTGGCCACACTAGGCATTTTGCCTACCTGTAAAGTTTCTAACTTTGTTGTCTTTCCGGGGGGTTGGAAAATTATCGGTACTCGGTTAATTTGTTGTTTAGAATACATAACTTAATGGGACAGATTGTTTGAATTAAAGACCGGAGGGGCACGGCAGGAATCCAACCGTCGTGCTATTTGCTCCAGTTCAGCACAATTCTTATCCTAATCAGTTCACCGCGTTTTGCATCAACTGGAGGATCAAATCCTGGAAGCCTAGAGGCTATCTACCAGATTACGCCCTCTCCTTGGTGTTGCTGGCCGGAAAGGAAGATCCAGTTTCCGCGAAAGGACAAAGCAACCCAGAACCCGCCTGTGCCTAAGCTTGTTCCTTGCCACTGCAGAAGTAGAGTCTTGCCTCCCACCCCCACACACACCGAAGGAAGCTGCCCAAAGCTGGGGTGCTCCCGGCCCTATCAGGCTCGCAGCATCGGGTATCCCATGCGGGGCACCAGGGTCGCACAGTTTGCTGCCTCCCCCTCCGAGAACAATCCGGTATCTGTTAGTTCCTAGACTGATCGGAGCAAGAGAGACGGGTGAGGAGGCTGGGAAAGGGTAGGCGGCACCGCAGCGCTGCTCCCTGGCAGCCGGCGCGGTTCTCCGAGTCCTTAGCTCCCTCCTTGCCACTCGGCGCTCGGCAAACTTTTCGGAGTTTTCCTGCCCTTGCGTCACGGAAAAGGCAGGCGGGTGATCGAGTCCAGGAGGCGAGGCCCCGCGGCGGCTGGCGAGCTCCCCCGCGCGGCGCTCCAACCCGGGTGAGAGGTGGCTCTCGGCACCGGCTACTCGGCGGCTGAGAGCTTGCAGCTCCCCGACTCCCGAGTCCACTTCCCGGATCCCCGCCACCCGGAATGAACCGGGCTGGGGGGGCGCCCGCCAGAAGGAAAGAGGACGGAAAGCCGGCGGTGGCACCCTGGCCTCGGGAGGGCGGAGCCTTGCGGTCCCTGCTCCGCCTGGACGCGCAGAAGTGCTGTGGAGTTTGCTCAATTCCCTAGCCTGCTTTCCCTCCCTCATACCTCCCTCCCTCTGTCTCTCCACCCCTCACCTCCCCTACTGCTGTCCCCTCCTTCCTCGGGACGCCACCTCCTGGACTTCTTTTCCTTCTTTTTTTGGATTTTTGTTTTGTTTTGGATCTGGCTTCCCGCTGGTAGCGCTGAGGGGCTGCAAGTGCGGGGGAAGGAGGCAGGAGGCTGGGGCTCAGCTCATCCCTCTCGGGCAGCATCCCCCCCGCCCCCGGGACATCGCGGAGAACGAACCTCCGGACGGCCGGACAAACAGCCGGCCGCGCCATCTATTCGAAGGAACTCCATCTACCAACTACTGTTAAGTGTTTGCTGGCACACCAGTGGTGGGGGTGGTGATGGTTTCTGTTAGTGTTACCTCTGGACAGGGGTCCTGGGACTCGGATCAGGGTCAGCTTAGTACTCCGAAACTGCTGAGGAATTAGGCAAACAAAAGAGGCAGAGAGAGAGAGAGAGAGCGAGAGAGAGAGAGAGAGAGAGAGAGAGCAGAAGTCCTCTGAGCGGCTTGTCGCGCCCCCTTGTTCTCTGGGGGTGGGGGGCTAGCCAGTTGCAGGGCGGGAAGAGGGCACCAGAGCGGGCTAGGCAGGGTCGCACCCCCTAGGTCGTGTAGTTATCCTCCGGTTGTGCAAGCTTTGGCCCTTGTTTTCCCGGCCTGGCTCGTTTGGAGGCCGGACACATCCACCCTTGGAATTGGTTCAGGACTCGGCTGTTATTCTCCTCGCCCCTCTTGGATTTTCTGGATTCTTGAAGACGCGGTGGCCAGGGACGAGAGAGGAAGGAGGAAGGAACAGCTCTTCAGAGGAATGTGAGAGCCTCCCAAAGGAGCTGGGAGCCGGGGAGGCAGAACCTTGCCTGCGTTCCTGGGACCGTGGTCCGCAGCGGATTCTTTTCTGTTGTACAACCTTGTTCTAGTGGAAAGTGTCTGTCGCATTCTTGTTTCTAGCAGAGCTTGTTTCTCCAGGTCATTTGACTTTTCTACTTGGTGTGAGAAGAGGGAGTGACTCCCTCCCTCTCATGGGCTGCCAAGGGAGGGAAGAAAGACTGTGGTCATGACCAACCCCTCCCTGTTTACAGGCAGATACCCCAAGGCTGGATAAGGCTGTTTCTGGACCATGGACGTTTCTTTGAAGAGAAGGCAGCTAGACCTCATCTTGTGCATGGCCGAGACCCCTGCCTGAGGGTCTGAGTAAGGTATACTAGACTTGGAGCTGCAAGTACATTTTTGGACACCCTGCTGAGCATCCTGAGTCCGGGCAAGGTATTTTCCTTCCAATATTGACCTGCCTGGTAGCCTAGCCATGGCACTGAAAGGCCGAGCCCTCTATGATTTCCACAGTGAGAACAAGGAGGAAATCAACATCCAGCAGGATGAAGACCTGGTTATCTTCAGTGAGACTTCACTGGATGGCTGGCTGCAGGGGCAGAACAGCCGTGGGGAGACAGGGCTCTTCCCTGCTTCTTACGTTGAGATCGTCCGTCCTGGTCCTGGCATCAACACCAACCACGTGGACTACCCCAGCAGCCCTGCAGGCTCCCTGGGCACCCAAGTGAGTTTGTATAACAGCCCTAGTGTGGCCAGCCAAGCCAGGAGTGGTGGGGGCAGTGGCTTTCTCTCAAACCAAGGAAGCTTTGAGGATGATGATGACGATGACTGGGATGACTGGGATGATGGATGCACAGTGGTAGAAGAGCCAAGGGCTGGTGGCCTAGGTACCAATGGGCACCCTCCACTCAACCTTTCCTACCCGGGTGCCTATCCCAACCAGCATATGGCTTTCCGACCCAAGGCACCCTTGGAAAGGCAGGACAGTCTAGCGTCTGCCAAGCGGGGCAGTGTGGTGGGACGGAACCTCAATCGCTTCTCATGTTTCGTGCGCTCTGGAGTGGAGGCCTTTATCCTTGGTGATGTGCCCATGATGGCCAAGATTGCTGAGACCTACTCCATCGAGATGGGCCCCCGTGGCCCTCAGTGGAAGGCCAACCCCCACCCATTTGCCTGCTCCGTGGAGGACCCCACCAAACAGACCAAGTTCAAAGGCATCAAAAGTTACATCTCCTACAAGCTTACACCCACCCATGCTGGCTCACCTGTTTACCGGCGCTACAAACACTTCGATTGGCTCTACAACCGCCTTCTCCACAAGTTCACTGTCATCTCTGTGCCCCACCTCCCTGAGAAGCAGGCCACCGGCCGCTTCGAGGAGGACTTCATTGAGAAGCGCAAGCGACGACTCATCCTCTGGATGGACCACATGACTAGCCACCCTGTGCTCTCTCAGTATGAGGGCTTCCAGCATTTCCTCAGCTGCCTCGATGACAAACAGTGGAAGATGGGTAAACGCCGGGCAGAGAAGGATGAGATGGTGGGTGCCAGCTTTCTGCTCACCTTCCAGATCCCCACAGAGCACCAGGACCTGCAGGACGTAGAGGACCGTGTGGACACATTCAAGGCCTTCAGTAAGAAGATGGACGACAGTGTCCTGCAGCTGAGCACCGTGGCATCAGAGCTGGTGCGGAAGCATGTGGGAGGCTTCCGCAAGGAATTCCAGAAGCTAGGAAGTGCCTTCCAGGCCATTAGCCATGCCTTCCAGATGGATCCTCCCTTTAGCTCCGAGGCCCTCAACAATGCCATTTCTCACACCGGCCGGACCTATGAAACGGTTGGTGAGATGTTTGCTGAACAGCCCAAAAATGACCTCTTCCAGATGCTTGACACACTGTCTCTCTACCAGGGCCTGCTCTCCAACTTCCCTGACATTATCCACCTGCAAAAAGGTAAGCCCTTCCTGAGTGTGGCGTTCTACTGGTCCCTGGGAATATGAGGACAGCCTGTACTACAGTGAACAGCTCATCACATTTTCCTGTCTCGGTCTCCATCGCTGGCTCAACAAATGTACTGAGATGATTCTCTAGAGAGTGCTGCTGTAGGCCTAGGGAGTGTGGACAGGTTTGGTCTCTGTTCTCTCTGAGCTCTGTGTGTACCTTCCTGTCTGATCTGCTTTTTCTGTGTCTCATTGACCCTATCACACATGGAGCCCTAAGATTCTGGGAACACAGAGATAAGCAGATCCCAGATTCTGCCTTATATGAACCCATGGGTTGAAAGAGGACCCAGACAGACACAGGCAAGGGCACACTGCAGGCTGTCTTACCGTCTCATAGGCTCAGCTTCTTTCTACCTTTGAAGCATTTGAGCCCAGACCCCCCCTCCGCCCTGTCTGCTAGCCCCTGTCTGTGCAGGAGGATCTCTGTTTTGCAGATGAAGTCTGTGTCCACAGCAGAGTGGTTGTGGATCAGCTGAGACTACCCCTTCCTCCTTCCAGCTCCCCAAGGACATATCTATATTGGCCGCCTCCCAGGTCCATCATGTTTTCAGTTTTCATGGCCCCCTGTGTGGGGGAGGGACCGGATGAGCCCCTGCCTGTTGAGGAACTGCCAGTGAAGTGACTCATCCTGGGTCACATGGGGCACTAAGCTGGGCAGTGGGGAATAGAACCCGGGGTCCAGGGCTCTGTTCACAAGGGCCAGTCAGTCTCTCTTCCCTTCCCAAGCTGGGCTTCTCTTACGGAAGAGTTGAGACAGGGGCTGGCCTAGCAGGTGACTGAGTCTGGGGACTTAGAGAAGGCAGATGTCACTAGAGAGGTGTGGTCCTCCCTGGGGCGGTAACTCAGGAAGAATATATTCAGGGTGTGGGGCTGGCTCCCTGGGCCCTAGGCCCTGAGGTCAAAGAGTTTTATTCTGGGTGGCCCTCTGGTTTGAGTGTGGGGAACAGCAAACATGATACCCCTGCCCTCAGGCCCCTGTCCTAATTACGAAGGTGGCTGTCAGAACTCCAGCTGCCAGGCACCTTCCCCCTCCACCTTTTCCTTTACCTCTTTTGTTTGCTGAACCCTCACATCTCCACCCACTTTTCTCCTCCCTTCAGCCCCAGGGATTCAAAGCCTGAGTTCTAGCCTGACTTTGCACCCAGCTTGCCTTGTGTCCCTGGGTGGGAAGGGCCTTTGCCTTCTTGGGCCTTCGTTTCTTAGGCCTTTGAGGGAGAGACTTCTGGGGAAGGCCTGCCCTGCACCTTTGGCTGCTCCCGTAGATCTGGCTTTGCGCTCAGAGCAGGGGCCCAGCCTGGCAGGGGCAGGTGCCTTCCTGTGAGGAAGTGGAGCCACACACCGTGCTGGGCCTGGGAAAGCTGGTTCAACCAGCTCCTTGGATGGCATGTTTTTTGTGTGGGCAGCAAGAGGCTGGGCACAATGATTAAACAGCTACCCCGACGCAGTGGCTGGAAACTCTCACTTAGAGCAGAGTTGGGGCAAGAGGGCAATCACGTGTCCGCACACCCAGTGTGTCATCGAAGAAGAAGAAGAAGAAGGGGGGAGAAAGCTATATTGTCCTTTCTACCTCAGATAGGCAAGTGCGTAGGAGAGACCTTGTCTCAGTCTCCACTTGAGACATCTCTTAGAGTCAGGGGCCTTCTGGGGAGACCCTGCAGCCTGAAGCAGATGTTGCCTGTGTCTGCCTCCTGCAGTGCCAGCCCTGCTCACTCCAGGTTCTGAGTTCTGGCCTGAGTCTAGAGGGAGTGTGAGAGGAGGAATTGGAGTTGGTCTAAGACAGAACTGGGCAGGCTGTGGAACCTGCTGCTGGAGGAGAACATCCTGTACTAGCCTTGTAGATAGAGGCTTTCCTCGGAGACAGTAACAGGGACATTTGGTTCTGGGTCACATGATTCAGTCTGTCCCATCTAGACATTTGAACAAACGGTGAGCATGTGAGGGAACAGTTGGGGGAGGGTGGGGAGTCAGGAAACAGGGCTTGGAGGGACCTGACCTATAGGGTGACCTGACCTATAGGGTGACCTGACCTATAGGGTGACCTTGGAGAATTTTCTCCCCCAGGCTCCATGTTAGTTTGACATGGAATCTGGAGCTAAGCTGAGCTCTCCAGGTCTGTTCTGCCCACTTGGTCATTTGGGGGAAGAAAAACCTAGTAATAGCTATCCTGCCACAGTTGACTGCCAAGAGCAAGCCAGGACCCTGAGAGCCAGCAAGGTCAGAGGTCAGTCTTAAACCGGTCACACTAAGTAGCTGGTATGGTCCCTTCAGCTTCACAGATAAGCAGCCCTGAGGTGATTTGATAGCGGAGCGGGTATGGGGCCAAGTTGGAATCTACTGTATCAGGCAGATGGAGGCAGGGACTTCCCAAGGACTGGACAGTTGAGGTCGATGGTGCAGAAGGGAAAGGAGGAAGGGAGGAGGCTTGGGCTTCATACTCCAGCGCTCCTCCGTTTGTGGGCTTTGTGTACCTGAGGCAGGTCTCGGACTACAGAGCATCCTGAGGAATCATGGAGCATGTGGCTTAGCTGAAGGAGGGTAGGTAGTTCCTGTGGGTGCAAGCTCTTGACTAGGAGACAGATAGGTCCAGCCTTATGGAATCCTTCCTTCACCTAAGCAGCAGATGCTACTGCTCTCCTCCTCTAGCTTTGTTTTTAATTATGTGAGATGTGTGTGTGTGTGTGTGTGTGTGTGTGTGTGTAAACATGAGTGCGGGTACCCACAGAGGCCAGAAGAGGGTGTTGCATGCTGCCCTGGAGTTGGAGTTGCAGGCAGTTGTGAGCTGCCGACTGAACTCTGGTCCTTTGTAAGAGCAACAAGAATGCCTCACCATCTTTCCATTCCAGTGGTAGCAGCTGCTTTTCCTCCTCCTTTTTTGAGACAGGGTCTTGCTTTGTACCCTAGGCTAGTCTTTTTTTTTTTCTTTTCCTTCAAGACAGGGTTTCTCTGTGTTGTTTTGGTGCCTGTCTTGGATCTCACTCTGTAGACCAGACATAAAAGTCTTTTTTGCTGGGCATGGTGGCGCACGCCTTTAATCCCAACACTTGGGAGGCAGAGGCAGGTGAATTTCTGTGAGTTTGAGAACAGCCTGGTCTACAAAGCAAGTTCCAGGACAGCCAGGGCTACACAGAGAAACCCTGTCTCAAAAAAAAAAGATCTTTATTTAAAAAATCATTTTAATTTATTTTATGTGTATGGGTGTTTTGCCTGCATGTATGTCTGTGTACCACATACGTGCCTGGTACCTGTGGAGGTCAGAAGAGGGTATTCAATCCTTTGGGGCTGGAATTACATACAGTTATGAGCTGCCATGTGGGTGCTGGGAATCAAACTCAGATCCTCTGGAAGAGCAGTCAAGTGTTCTTAACCGCTGAACCGTCTCTCTGGTCCCAAGAAGACCTTCCTCTGAGTGTTGATCTGCCAGCAGTGCTCCCAGACTCAAGCAGGCAGGCCACTGGAGTTCAGGCTTCTCCCGGGTCTCTGCTTCAGGTAGACTCGATTTGTTGAAGCTTAACTTCGCTTTCTCTGTCTTGATCTCTTATTTCTTCTTAGGGTCCCTCCTACCCACTGTGACCTTCTTGGATACTTGTGCCCACTGTCTGGAGGCTTACATAGGGTTTTTGTAGTAGCGATGGTGTCCATCCCCTGGGTGTGGAGGGCCAGGCACCCTCCACTTACAGGAAGAGGGTTGGGAGCCCTGCGGCCAGTCTCCTCAAGATCTTAGTTTTTCTTTCAGTAGTTGTGGTGGGATCAAACAGCTGCCCTTGAGGGTCTCTCCAGCTCTGAACTCTCTTACCGTGTTCCCTCCTGTGCCCAAGACTGTGCTGGACTATCAGGATGGAGCAGGAGGCAGGTGATAATCGAGGGAAGGTGTCGGAAGGCCTGAGTGAGCTGAAAGCTGGGAGCTCCAGATTTCTTTTGGGTACTATGTATGGAAGCATCTCTCTCCAAACTTGAGGCATTGTGTGAAAGGCCACTAGTCACCATTTAACCTTGCTCTTGCTCTCTGATAGAGATGCTGTCTCTGATAAGGGTATCTGGAGTCCCATCCAGTCTGTAAAGCCCTGGCATATAGGAAGTGCCTAGTAAGTGCATTTTGAATACGTCTGACAACTTCAGGGAGAATTAAAAGAGTACCATGTAGAAGAAGCGGCATGGGCTGGGGAATGTGTCTTATTTTGTGGAGTGCTTGCTGGGCATACATGAGACCCTGGGGTCAGTCTTCATAAACTGAGTATAGTAACAAGTGTGTTTGAGATCAGGTTGGTCTACATGAGACCCTGTCTCCAAACCAAGCAAAACAACAGCAAACAAAACAAAAGAAGGGCTGTCGAGATCACTCAGAAGTTCAGAGGACCGGCTGCTCTCCCAGAGGATTCAGGTGCAACTCCCAGCCCCTGCAGAGAGGCTCACAACCATCTATAACTCCAGTTCTAGGGGATCTGACACCCTCTTCTAGCCTCTCACAGTACCAGGCATGCACGTGATCCACAGGCATACATCTAGGCAAACATTCATACACATAAGATAATAAAATACATTTTAATAAAAGGAAGGAAGGGCTGGAGAAGTGGCTCGGTGGTTAAAAGCACGTGCTGCTCTTCCAGAGGACCCAAGTTCAGTTCCCAGCACCCACAACAGGCGGCTCACCACCGCTGGTGACTCCAGGGCGTGCGTGCGCCGGGTGTGTGTGTGTGGGTATGGGTGCTCTGGAGGGATCTGAGTCTCTGGCCTCCGCTGACACTCTCATGCATGTACTCTCCTCCCCAAATACAAATAATTAAAAAGGAAATAAATCTTGAAAGAACAAAACAGTCAACAAGAGGAAAAGTGGGGTGAGGCCCCCCTTGCCCTGGGGACTCCCTTTCGTCCTTTGAGAGTGAGTGCCCACAGACACACGCCCTCCTCTTCTCCACAACCGGCTAAAAGGCGAAGATAGTCACCTGCCTTTTCTTCAAAACTGAACTCATTAACTAATTGTTTGTTGATTCAGCCCAGTTCTTCCTGATTAAGGCCCCTGCCCAGGTTTATCCCTTTCTATTACCATCTGTCACCTGTTTATCAGTACAGTCTCCTCTGGTTCTATGGGGACAGGGGTGAGGAGTGGGCGGGGCTTGTATGTCAGGGAGCCATACCAGGTGGCCTTTGAAGCGCAGTGTTAGAATCAGCTGTTCGAAAGCAGGCTGGGGACAGGTGCATCGGGAGGCATTCTGCCTGGGGCCCTGGGGAGAGTTGGGTATAGAAGTCAAACCTGATCTAGGCCTTGAATTATGCATAGGTAGGGAGCCAGCAGGCAGGGGTAAGATAGGAAAGAACTGGGAGGGTTGCATGGACACGGTGACACTGGAAGTCACCTGTGCAAGAGCCAACTCCCTGAGGCCTCCTGGGCAGGGCAATGGGTGTGGACTGTCCTCTGCAGGCAGTGTAGAGCCAGCACGGCATCAGGCTTAGGGAACATCTTTGGGTACTATGAGATAGACTCTCAAATCAGGGGGATGTCCCTGTCTTAGCAGCCCGGGGGTGAGAAGAGTCAGTTCAGCAGATGTGTCCACATCTGTGTGGGCCAGATCTTGTGGGACCTGGGGAACATGACAGCCCCCAAACTCAGGGGAAGCCAACCAGCCAGAGTGCAATAGCTAAGATACAAGATGTTGGGAAGCCTCAGGGATCATAGGGCACACAGAAGGCTTTCTTGGAAGAGAGAGGCCAAAGCTAAAATAGGAGACAGTGAGGCCTGTGATGTCTTGATGGAGACCGTCGGGTGGGTTCAGGAGGAAGTCTGGGTGGAGACATCTGAGGCGTCATTCGCCTTTGTGAGACTAGAGGGATGTACAGGGAGTGAGTAGGGGAGGTCCAAGCCCTGACCTGCCTGTCCTGTGCTCTCCCGCCAGGTGCCTTCGCCAAGGTGAAGGAGAGCCAGCGCATGAGTGACGAGGGCCGCATGGCTCAGGAAGAGGCAGACGGCATCCGCAGGCGCTGCCGCGTGGTAGGCTTCGCCCTGCAGGCTGAGATGAACCACTTCCACCAGCGCCGTGAGCTTGACTTCAAGCATATGATGCAAAGCTACCTGCGCCAGCAGATCCTTTTCTACCAGCGGGTGGGCCAGCAGCTGGAGAAGACCCTGCGCATGTACGACCATCTCTGACAGAGTGACCACACGTGCAGGTCCCCTTCCCAGCTGGACCTAGTCCCTGCAGCCCACCCCACTCCAAGGCTCCCTGCCCCCAGCAGTGGCTCAGGTGCTCAGGAGTGGGAGAGGCGAGTGGCCTGTTAGGAGAGAAGGGACTTTGGAGACGTCCTGGTACCCCTGGAGAAGTCTTCCCTCACTTTAGAGATGGGTGAATGGAGACAGAGTCCTCTGAGCCAAAGCCTGGGCTGCTGGTCAGTCCCTAGAGAGCAGGAGTCTCTGTAGCCTGTAGTTCACGCTCACCTGGCCACCACACCCTGTTTATTCCCTGGACTCCGTTGACTGCTGTGGCCATGGCTGAGACACTAGTGACCAAGCCTGGAACATGCCTGTCCCAGAAGAGCCACCTTTCAAGATGGATATCAGACGCTGCAGTGTGACAGTGACATTTAAGGATTCCCGGAAACTCCTTGAAGGACCACAGAACTCTGCTGGGTGGGGAACGCTCCATGGAGGAGGTGACATTCCAGAAGATCTTGAAGAATTGCAAGGACCTACAAGACAGGAAATGGGTGAAGGACATGGGGAGAGGACCAATGCCGTCTCTCCTCTTCTTCACCTTTTCCAAACAAGTTTGGTATCCTCTCCGTGGGTTCTGGTCAGTCTGACAGAGGGAGGGATCGTCCTTGCTCCGTGGTCCCTGGATTTCCCTGCCGTACCGCTTCTGCAGGGGGACTCAGGCCAACTCCCTCCTAGAGGTCTTGGACTCCCCTCTACCTTGCTTGGGGGACCCCCTCTACTTTTCCTTATTGAGGGGACTATGCAGCAACTTTCCCTTCTCTGGGCTCAAGATGCTCAAGCCAGGAAGCACAGAGCCCTGATGGTGCCTTTCTTTCGGGAGGAACTCTCCAAAGTGACCAGCAGGAACTCCCCATCTAGCAGGTCCAGGTCCCAAGTTCCCAGGCGCCTTTGCTTCTGTGGCCTGGTCTTCTCAAAGCCTTCTCATTGCCCAGTGGGAAGTCTGAGAGAAAGAAACTGGGAACTTTAGACCCCCTGCTCCTGGCCAGGCTCACTCACAGGTTGTGCTACCACCCACCTATGTTTACATCCTCCAGGAGTTACTGCCCCCTCCCTTACCCTTCAGGCCAGGATGCGGCCCAGCAGAACGTTGTTGGGAAGTGACCCTGTCCCCGCCGCCGCCGCCTTCCTGGAAGCCATGGTCTGCTCCTGGGTCCTGCTGCTTCACTCTTTCCTCTTGATAAACCTTGTACAGTTACTGTAACAGAAGCACGGTCTTTTCTTTTGGAATCCCGGGAGCAGGGAGAGTTGGGGGAAGAACAGAACCCAAACTGCCCCTCTGGACTGGAGTCAGTGATGTTGGTGGGGTTAAAGTTAATTCATAACTTCAGAACAAGCAAGGCTATACTGGTCAGAGGCCCAGAAGGCCCCATCCCCCCAGCTGGCTCCATGGCCTCCTCAGACCTGGGTCTCCTCATTGTTTGCCTGTGCTTTGGTGCGTGCGTGCGTGCGTGCGTGCGTGCGTGCGTGCGTGCGTGC